GGAGACAGGCCATGTCCTGCCCCTGCCACTGAAGGGAGGAGGCTCCCAGCCCCCCCAACCTCCGAGTGACCTTCCAGCTCCTAGAGGCAGTGCCCCACCACCTGCACTCTGTCCCCTGGAGGGCAGCTCCTCTCCTCCTCCTCCTCCTCCTCCTCTTGAGCTCCTGGTGTGTGAGGAAGGACAGGGGGAAGTACCAGCTCGGCTGGCCAGCTCCTGCCGTTCATTCCCGTCCCCGCAGGGTCCCCTGGAAGTAGCCGAGAGCCTCCCCTTCCTTTAGTTAGCCGCTTCTCCAGATGTCTCTGGGCCTCAGATGTTTGAGGTCTTCCCAGTCCGTGTTGTAGCAGCCAGCCTGGAGGGGCTCCTGACTGTCTGACTGGCTTCTTCCATGGCGGGGACGGCCTGGGGGGTCTGGCCAGGAGCAGCATGCCCCCCCCGTGCCCTTCTCTGCCAGGGGGGTGGGCACCAGCTTGGGCCCAGCTTGGGTAGCACTGAGGGTGACCTGGGGAGGGCCCTTCACCTGGAGGGCAGCCCTGGTGGGGCCAGGAAGCCCCCCCCCCGAGTCCTGGAGGGTTTCTCCCGCAAGAGATTGTCAGGAGGGGGGGGTGCTTCACCTTCACCCAGCGTGGACTTTTAACCGCCATCCATTTTCTCTTCATCGTCTAATTTGGCTTTTTGTAGTTAGTTTGTACTAACGGAGCCAGCGTGGCACTAACCCGTTTCCATTCTAGAAGGCCTAATTGTTGTGTTAGAAGCAGAATCTCACCGTGTCGGAGTCACCTCCCCGCCCCCTGGAGCTGGCTTTGGATCCGAGTCGCTGCAGGCCAAGGCCATGTGCAGCCAGAGGGCCACTGGACCTCCTGCGTGGGCGGGGGGGGGAGGGGTTGGGCCGGACTCTGCCCGGATGCAGGGGCGGATTCGGGCTCCCTGGTGCCCTCAGCAGTGACCCATCTTGGTGCCCCCCCCTCCTTTCCACAGTGACCCAGTCCATTTTAGTTGCTGACCTGTCTGACCAGATATACGATGCAGGTTGCAGCAATACCAAATATGTATTCATAGGATAACACAATATCCTGTACAAACTAAGCTTTTCACCGTTTCCCCCAACTTTGTGGCGGCCCCTTTGGCCCTGGTGCCCTAAACACGTGCTGAGTCTGCTTCATGGTGAATCTGCTCCTGCCCGGATGCCTCCCTCAGAGAGGCAA